GTGTGCACACAATAAGGAGGGCCTCGGCTGCACCGGATGCGTTAGGGACAGATACCCGAGCGAATACTCGGTCCGCCAATATCTAGATGAGGTGCAACGACGCCGAGGTAGCGGTCCGAGTATACTCAGCCGGACCGAACCCGCCAGGGTATAGACCCTCATCAGCGCCAGTGCACAGTAGGCCCGTTGCCAGGCAGCAAACCGTCTCACCACGGGCTATAGTTTTTTACTCAACTTTAGGCGACCGATACCAGTTCTGTCGGCTTTTTATTGTTTTTTGACATGGTACGCCAATGAAGTCAGATAGCTTGGAAAAATTACTAACAAGTGTGCAAAGGCCCAAAGCTGTAACGTTCTTCAGTGTTAAGTGCAAGTGAAGTGCCGGTAACACACTGAAGTCAACTGCAGCAGTAACAAGCCGCGCACGTACAGCACACGAAGCGAGGCCATTGACTATAATAACAACATGGTGCCTAAAAGCATAACTGCACACACCCCGAGCAATAATACTGAACGTGGAGCAAACAACATGTTTCGGCGTCGACTGTTCGTGGCTGTGTGGGCTGATGTCCCGAAAAAAAAACATTGCTCAGCTGGAGCGTGTTTGACGCCTGACAAAGCAAATGTTTGATTCGCGGAGCGTGTTTTCGCAGGATAGACTAGAGCGTTAAGTTTTGCTTATTGATGCGTGTGTTGCGTCAATGGTTCTGCTACATCAGCGAAACGCGCACCAGACTGGTCCTCCAAAATCAATATCCTTAAAATAGTACGTGACAGCACCAAAATTGGATGTCCATTGGATGGCTATTTTTGATGTCATGTGACAGCGGCGGCTGTACGCAGTGGTTTCTGTATGTTTTGGCTCAGGCTTGTGTGCTTGTTGTCGGGTGGCGTGTGTGTGCTTGCTCTGCCGAGCAGCAAACGCGAAATGGGCTGGAAAACAAATTCCGCGTTTTGCTTGCGAGTGTGGTGCGCTAGCTTAAGCTCGCCGGCGACTCTCGGCCAGTAGGTCTATCCCGCCGCAGTTTCCACAACTCACCGCTCATCCGTCTTCCAATCAGTTACAGACTCGCGGTGTTCCTGCAGGTTTGACGAGCCAGCTTCCAACTATCGTTGGAATCGGCGAGACTGCTGAACCAAGCTACACGCTGCATTTTTGTAAATGCGGGCTCCCCGCCAGGAATGGCGCTCAAATCACAGAAATGTCCGTGCAATATACATGCGAAATGATCCCATTCGGATGCTACCGAGGCAAACGGCGCATGCCCAATCGCTGCGGCTGCGCTGATTGCGAGCATGACTCACCCGCGATGTCAACAACGGTTAGCCCTTGGCGGCAGTCCCACGCTGTCTGCACGTTAAACTTGCTGCAGCCAATCAAGCGCAGGCGCGTCGTCACAGATTGGGCATGCGGCTCGTCTCTGGCCTGGTAAGCATCCGAAAGCCCCATCCATTCTGCATGTATATTTGAGGAATTTCTGTGATTTGAGCACATTCGTGGCGAGCCGGTTTGTCAAAGTGGCGTTCGCTGTTCAGCAGGTCTTCCGCGGATTACCGAACATAGTGTGGAAAGTGGACAATCACCTGCAGGAACACGCGGAGTTTAACTGACTCACAATAACGTGACGTTGTGTGAAACTGGGCGGCGCGGAGTCAGGCAGCGCGATATTGTTGATTGTCATACTAGTCATGGCCGCGTGTCGTGCTGTAGCGTAGCGGCTTGTTCTTGGCTGCCAGTGACGAGTCGACCTGACGTGTACACTGGTCAGGAGAAATGGGGGTTACAGAGAAAAACTAAGGTGAGACACTACACTTATGCAGACCATACCGTCTAGTTCCGCTTTTGTTGACAAGTGTAGTTGCTTATAGTCGACAGATTCCCGATAAAAGCGGTTCATGCGCTGATGAGCGTCGTGAAATTTCGCTATACCTAACACGAGCAGACCAAGCGTGCCAATTGCTACCATTGCCACCACAACCCTCAGGCTCAGTCCGCTACCGCTCCGCTTTAAAAACATATTGGTAAATATCTACGCACTTAGACTTTAACAACACCATCGATACTTCACACAAAATCGTAAAAACACAGAATAGTAGACATGCGGAAGTTTTGAAGCCACTATTTTGCGTTAAATTTAATCTTGCGTTTCCATCTATGGTTTACAACGTGGCTGTGCGTGTGTACGTTTTATAGCGACATCTGGTGTCACGTTACTGTACCTCATTACGTCACTGCCTCGGTGCGACACCTAGTGGCTGCCTCGCCCGGCGACCTTTTTAGAGATGCTAGGAATTTTTACTAAATAACAACACATTTTAGAGCATCAGAGGTAATTATACTGCACGTGGTTATTATATAGTATCAGTGCATGTTTATATAAATAAACTGTGGTATTTAATTTGTAGCCCGTGTACACGCACGAGGCTTATTTGTAAGCGAAATCATCTCTCAAAACTGGTGTAAATTCTCACTTCTTGCACTCCCTTCATTTGAAGTTTCACCAATGGCAATACTAATAGTAATAGACATAGTAATAGTTATAATTATTAAGCTTAAGCAGCTATTCGTTTGCCCTATATAAAAGCCACTATAGTTTATTCGTATGCGTTTTATTTGCCTGGACCAAGTCGCTATAAAATACAGTACACTTGTGTTTACTGTATAATCATTTCTCACAAAATACCACACCCCTTCAAATCAAATGCATGTTCTGTTAGTTAAAAATTTCGTGCATGACTGTGTGCGTGTCTTTATACTTGTTATAGTTTCCTACTCCTAGGAATCGCTAATTATCATATTTTAAATTATATTCACTAAGTTGCTACATCAGTGCACGAATTTAGCTTTCAATTGTTTTGTCAATTATCTACCGTCAGACAATTGTCAACCGTGTTGTCGTTATTGGCTAATTGAATTTTCATGTATGATTAATGTGCATTAATTTGAAGCAAATGGTTCATAACATTTTTTACAGGGACTTAGGATTGAGAATTTTAGGCAGCGTTGTCTAAGAATTATAAATATAAAAGCGAAAGAGTTTTAAACATTACTCATTAGATATAATTGTTAGGCCCAAAGGAAACGGACACGCTTTTGTGGATTTGAACAGACGTAGAGTATTTAAGCAAGTGACCATCCAAAGTGAAGTATTATCGTCTATATACCTTTTACTAGTAGTAAATGTGAGGATTACAATGAGTCGGTGAAGTAAGCTTAACAAAAACAGCCACAATTAAATGCAGGAGGGACATTTAATTAAAATGTCAAGATCTTGGTATTATTAGCATTAATATCATTAATAGCATTATAATGATCATGAGTATACGGTAGATTACTGGTAACTAAAACGTGAAAATTTGCTTTTAATTTTATAGTATATTGAATAACCTTTGTCAGTATCTAGTATGTAAATGCGCAGTGCGTGAAATTAGTGCTATTTTGCTGGTGGCCGCCAGTTCAACCCCCTAAACCGCCGGTTCAACCGCCCATATGATCAGTCCATTTGGCCTATTCAAATTTTGCCTATCTTGCCTTTATATCAACAATATTTACCAATTTCCTGAGTAGTGTTCCTAACATTTTTCATAATTTTGCTAAAATGTGACTGATGTGCTAAATTACTCTACTGTGCAAACTGTGCAAATAAATACTACGAGTATGCCTAATAAACACAAAGCTAATACTTTTATTAATAATGGAATAAATTAAACAGAATTAAGGGCCTGTTCAAACTTGTAAGGTCCTGTATTAAGGGCCATTTAAAATTTTGGGTGGACCTGTTCACATTTTGGCTAATTTCATGCCCTGAATGCGTGTATGTTTATTTTGATACCCCCTAGGTCGCCACACAATTACCAGAACGTGTTTTGAACCTGATTAACTACGTAAAGAGTATCGTTTTTTTTCTGGGGCAGTGGTAAAAATTACCATTAGAAAGGCAGGGGGCAGCAGGAGTAAAACCCAATCGTTTAGAGAATAAATAAATTGCAAACTAGCCAGTGTTGCCAGTTAATAGTGTAGACAGCATGGTAGCGTTCTTGTGTAAATTCATCAAGTTTGTATTATTCTATATTAATGTTACAGACACATGACATAGTGTTGTTGTTCATATCGCTGGCATTCGTGGTAGCAGTAGGGGCGTGTACAGGATTTGTACCAGGGGGGTCCCCTCCCCCACGGAAATTTTTGAAATTAGACCCTCTTAGATGCGTTTTCTGCGCAAGCAGGGGGGTGGGGTCCGGACCCCCTGGACCCCCCTGTACACGCCCCTGAGCAGATATTTGTTTTGTTTGTGTGCAGTCAAGTATGAATGCATACATATGATCTGTGACACTGCATCAATCAGGGTTTCACGTGATTGCTAAGTTGCTAACCTATATATCATTCTTGGCTCACAATCGTCATTGCTCTCTGGTTTACAAGACGAATGACTCAACTAGTATTATATAAGATGGTAATGGTGCTGGGTGAATATGATTGGTTGTTCACTGAGACCTGTTTCTGGAACTGGTAACAGTAGGCTATTCAACTCGCCTCTATATGCAGGATATTACTAATGTAAATTTTCATAAAAACTACATGTATGCACATCCGTTCGTGCTCACTCACTTAACAAAAAATTGAATTGAAATTGTGTACTACATTTTAATATTTGGCTGTATGTAGATTGCTATTGTTGTTAGACTAACATTCCTAACTGTAAGTGCCTGCATAATAGCCATGCGATGTTTATTACTTGATGTCTAATGTTCTTCTGCATGACTTTCCATGGTAGCTGTGGCATTAGATTTACTGTCAGAATGTTTTATATTCTCTACATATAGAGAATATAAAACATTCTGACAGTAAATCTATCTATCTATATATCATAACTGATATATCACTTTCATTTCTGTTATGCATGTGTAGACCTACATTGACACAGCTGTTTCGTCTTGATACCAGTTCGTTATAATTAAATAGTGTGGCTCGATAAAAACAAAAAAAACTCAACATTTAGCAGTTTCCGTTTACCAATGATTTATATTATATTTACGATGTGCGTCATATATCATAATAATGTGCTTTATATGTATATTATAATTAATATATACATAGGCTTGAGTTAAGATAAGGTCTAGCCATCTCTGTATGTCCAGGACTAGTAAACAAGTCTACATGTATTAATATAGGCATTCATGTACACATATATAACCAGCATGGCTAATATCTGCAGGTTTGTGTAATGGTGTTGATCTGATTTTGATTTTGTTATCCTAATTCTCTTTTCCAAGTCAATGAATAAAAATGGAAATTTGAAGACAATAAATCATTCTGGGGAAATTGTGTTATTGCACTGCAATTAGTAAGTTGTGGATTGGGTAGCTAAGTCAAATTAATGTTGAATTTTGTCTGTTTATAAATATTGAGCTATGCCCATTGGTGATGACTATAAATAATAGACCTCATGTTATGGTACGGATGACTCGCATGTATCAGTTAGGTACCCCCCACCCCTACATGTATCAGTTAGGTACCCCCCACCCCTATCCATGAACAACTCTGTCATATTGGTTTACTCATTAAAGTAGGCATTGCTGGTACATAGATCCACACGTTAGAAATATACCGTGTATAACTGTAAATTTATCGACCATGCACGCATACCCAGAGGCAGGCAGGCAGATGGAATGGCAGATGCAAATGGCACATTGACGTACATTATTAAAATCTCGTATGTTGGTATCTCCTATACTTCGTCACAGACACCTTCATGCATGTGTGCGTGTGCGTCTTAGAACAGTAGCATTGACCATCAGTGAGGTGTAGGCTCAGGCATCTAGCTATCGTCTGAACCAGGAAACACAGCATCTAGCTACAGAGAAAGCTAGACTACACTAGCTAGCATCTGCACCAGGAAACACAGCTACTAGCTACAGAGAAAGCTAGACTACACTAGCTATCGTCTGCACCAGGAAACACAGCTACTAGCTACAGAGAAAGCTAGACTACACTAGCTATCGTCTGCACCAGGAAACACAGCTACTAGCTACAGAGAAAGCTAGACTACATCGTCCCTCACCTCTGGCGCTCTGGATATGCTAATCTCTCTATATACCTGTGATTCTGCTTATGAATCCAAGGATAGGACAAAAGTTCCTGTAATATAATACGGCTGTCATGCTACCTATAGTAATGCCATCTAGCGACAGTTCTATGTGACAGTCCTATGTGACAGTCCTATGTTACAGTCTTATGTGACAGCCCTATGCAGGGTTTCTTTGTACATAAGAGGCACAGTGGCGCACTGCCATTGTGAAATGTTCACTCTATTTACCTGCCGTTCTAAAAATAGTGTCAACCCAAAAATAAATAGATTACCACATGCTTCTGCGCATTTAGCGTCAGTGTGACGGCAGGGTCTACACTTTTCTGTTATTTCCTTTGAATCCATCATGAATGCAGTGTTTTCCCAAACTGGCCATTAGCTCCTTTGTTCTAATTTTCCTGAGAAGAAAACCCTGCTATGAGACAGCCCTATGTGACACTCGGCTCATACGTGTTTAACGAGTGTGACTAAACCTGCTAGGCGAACTCGCGTTAATTCCGCGCCAGTGATATTTTTCTCTCCTTGAGATTGCGTATTACTCAACAGTTGTCATGGCAGATTCAGGTCCAAGCTAACGGACCGTCGAGTGAGAAGTCATCGAATCATTCAACCCTGATGATCCAGAATAACATCGCCGAGCAGCAGAGGCCAGCTACGATTCAGGGTAAAAAACATACGACAGCACTGCATCTAGATGTGTAATTATGTAGAGGTGGCTGCTTGTAGAAACTGGATCATACTGGGTCTCACTGAAGTGGGTTGCTTATCTCATGGATAATTCAGGAAATAAGTACTAATTGGACAATATTAGTTTTACATTTTAGACAGGCATGCGTGCTAAAACTTCCCAACTGCATATAATTTTTAGGTGATCTGAGCTAAAATAGGCAAAAAACCGTACTGGTTAATATTTGACGCCGTCGATCGTTGGTGTGACTGGTACTATTCTAAGAGAAATCCATGACTCATGTAATGTGATGAGCAATAATGAAAAGTTGACACAATTTTTCATCAGTGAAATTTCGGCAGTCGGTAGTGCTGATGATTGATTATGATGGGTTGTCACTTTACTGTAGTCGCAAGTTGTCAACAATG